ATGTCACTCAAAGCAGCGCCCTCGCAGGCCTGTCAGTCAAAGAATAATGTGTCACCAGCGGTTGGGAAAGTTGCCTACAGGGGCTTCTTTGCGATCAAGGCTCAAGAATTCACAACGGTAGAGAATGAAACACACAGGCTGCAGCAACCGGCTCTGCAACTCGGGCTTCCAAGACTCATCATCAAAGGCTTCATCGTAAGTAAGAAAACGCTTTGCCACTGCTAAAATCAAAAGCAATAGAGACACTTTCCGCAGGCGCGTGGTCAATTCAGGGACGCTGCTGCAACAGCTAGGGTTGAGGAATCGAGACAGAGCTGCAGCAGGCAACCCACAATTCCTGCAACGCTAAGCGACTTCTTGCCAGAAACTCGGGCCAACAGACGGGGCAGAACAGACTATAAAGGACTGCTACAAACATGGCTTTTCTGCGCTTATCTCAAACTCCCAAACTCGCTGCATACGCGTCGACGGCGACATTCAGGGAACCTTGAGGGTGCCCGTGGTGTTACCTGTCCCAGTAGCTTTCTTTGGTCTTTCTTGGTTTCACCTTAAACCCGGCATTAACTTAAACTACGCGTGACGACATCAATGTAGTGTCCATGACCTGTGTGTAAATTCCTCTTTTGGGGCAATTCCACATTTTCTTATTATCTCTCAGTTGCGTCTCTGTCTTTGACAGAGAAGCCCCTGAGTGCACTCTGTCCAAAGGACAGAGGGGCAACTGAGGAAAATTATACTGAACAGGTGCCTGAGGCCGCGCCCTCCCTTTGCACAAGAGGAAGGATCGGTGCTCGCACCGAGGGCCAGCGCAACCGACGGTTGCGGGGGCTGGTAATTTTGTCCCTGCCCGGGTGCGCGCGCTCAGGTCCCCACATTAATCCGACCTTGTGTCACATCTCATTCTCGTGGGGAATGGGAAAATACCAGTGTCCATGACCTGCGTTTGCCAATTCTGCAACGCCCGCAAATGGGCCGGGGGATCCTACCGGTTTTGTGCTGCTCCTTCGGCAAAGTTCGCATGAACTACCTACACCGTTGTGGGAACTAATAGCTGGCTCTATCCCGACTCCAACCCCTTCCTTAAAACAATTAGGCAGTACAACACCTCTTTTAAATGACCTCATTTAGGGCTCAGGTAATTCAAGAAGAGTGTTGGATGCCCACTTTAAAAGTACAGTACAGGTATACCACCGCATTGGGTCTCTGCTGCCTGAGGAGACGTCTAGACCGAAATTTCTACAACTGTACTTTATTGCAGACTACAACCTACAGGCCGAAACCCGGATTGGTATATTGCCGCAGTCGGGAAGAGTTTCTCGCAGGACGTCATACTACTACTTCAGGCCATGCTTCACGAGGTTAACAGCTACATTTGCAGTTTCAAATATGCTTTGGAAAATGCTCCCTTTCCTTCCTTCAGCATTGTAATTTACGCCGACAAACGGCCTCATGATGAACACGAACGCCACTACAATGCTCCTGCTTGCAACGAAGTAGCCGCTGATATACATGGGGAGTAAGACCGCACTCGCCATATTGTCCTCAAATCAAGGGGCGGCGCTCTTCGCAGGATTTCAGAGACCCATCGACCATATGACACATTGAGATACCATTTACTTTTCTATTATGGTGACGATGGCTACCACTTCGGCATTCATCTTCATACTCCGGGTGGCCAACCTACAACGTCTTCCAAAGTCTTATCGTGAAAGGCCTTCTCATACCGTTTTATGGTTAGGGGATGGAGACTTCAAACTGCTTCATAGATGCAGGAAGATTTTCCACCAGTTTGCGGTTGACATGGCCGCTAAGATGGAATCGGGGAGGCTTTGTTTTATACGGAATCGCCAGAAACAGCTGCGCTCAGACTCCTACGCGACAGCCTTCGAAATTAAGTCAATCCCCGCGACCTAGGGAAGCAGTGCATTCTGCCCTCTACCTAAACTGGGGTGGGGGTTACATGCATGAACGCACGCAGGACGCTATGACATAAGTTAGGCGATATGGGCGGCCAGACTTATTTATAACGTTTACCTGCAATCCCAAATGGGTTAAGATATCGCGTGAACTCTTACCCGGACAGGATTACACTCACAGACATGACATTACCGCCCGCGTAATCCGTTTAAAACTGGGAAAACTTATGGACTTAATAGTGAAGGGGTGGGTCCTACAGTGAAAACGCAACCACTATTTTACATTACCAGAATTAAAAACGGTTATGAATGAGTGGTAGTCTTCGAGTAAGCATAGAGCTGCAACATAGCAGCCAGCTATTGCAACCGGTTGACCTTGATCTCATTGACTACCAGTGAGATTCCTGGCCTATCAGTGACCTCAACCCTTCCAGATACGTACGTAAGTTCAATAATTCAAACCCCAAAGCAATTTAACTATATAAAACCCCGAGCAACGCCGGGTTTTACTGCTAGTTTTCGTTAGAAATATAGATAATCATTTTTTTTTTTTAAATAATGAGAAAAAATGTGCTAAACAATCCCCAGTAACTATTTAATTGTGGATACATTATCAAACGCTGAATGTCTGAGATCTTTTCTTGCTTTCTTTTTTATGTGCCATGTCCTTTCGGCACGTAGTCGCACATGTCTCTCTACCTCACTCTATACCTCGAAGCTCTCAGCAAGTTCCTTCTCTCTCTGCGCCCCCCTAGACCACGCTCTGTCATCCACCTACTAAAGCTCGCGAGATATGTCACACGCTGCTTTCCTTGTTTTTTTTTTCCTTCTATTCGACCCGTGATTGTCAGATTCTTCTCAGGCCCCTCCTCCTTATGTCTCCCCCAAAACATCAGCCGCATCTTTCTGATATTAAGTATAAGCCTTTTCCTTCATTGCAACCTCGTATATATATATATATATATATATATATGTTTGCCGCCAGTATAGGTTCTTGATTATTCTGATATCCCTCCTGAATATATCAAGGTTGCTGAGTAGTTCCATCCGATCCTTGTGGCGTACTTTGTCTAAGGCTTTTGTGTAGTCTATGAAACATAAGTACACGTCCTTCTGCATCTATTTCTGATAACATTCTGAGCATGAGTATAGCAGGAATTATAATTGTTTACATTACCTGCACTGGAACTATCGTCCTCATCTTTATTGTTATTATTCCAACGATTCGTCTGTTACGCCCTCTGGTCATCATCACGTGCTTATCAATCCGGGTAACTCCAAAGTAATCTCGAACTGTCTAAAATGCGCATTCGTGTTGCCTGGACCTGTCTATCCAAAAGAGAGAGAGAGATATAAAAACCCTGGCTTGTGCATCAATATTCTTCGTGACTACGCGAATTCCTTACTGATGCTTCGAAGAAATTGTCATTTTTGCTTTAACTGAAACAATCTTATTCGACACTCATTTTCAATTAACGGCAAATGCGAATCTCTTCACATACACGCACGTTTAACATGTCAGATTCTATCTTTCTTCTTTTCTTCTTCTTCTTCTTCTTCTTCTTCTTCTTCTTCCTGCTGTGTAATTTCATGACCTCTTCTTCTTCATCTTCTTCTTCTACCTGTTGTGTAATTTCATGACTTCTTCTTCTTCTTCTTCTTCTTCTTCTTCTTCTTCTTCTACCTGCTGTGTAATCGTCTTGCTAGAGAGTAATGTTAAAGTGGCTAATTACTAAGTTGCCTACTGCATCTATTAGTAAAAAGAGTATTGTAGGGTAGTCATTTATGCATATCTGGGAGGTTTCGTTCTGATGGATAGGGATTTCCACATGATATATTCAGATCCACAAACTGTTAATCTTTTATAGATCTCCGCTGCTGATGTGTCATATGTGTTATTATTTGTGAATGTCCCTTTCACAACAGCGACTATTATTATTTATTATTTTATTATTATTATTATTATTATTCCATGTTGTATATATATTTCCTTCCGGGTCTCAAAGACATAACGTTTGAAATGGCTTCATGATTTCAAGATCATTTTTTTTGTATATACAAAACAAAGATCAAATACATTTTACATACATAAAGTTCTTCGTAATGTGTCCTCTGTACTTGTGAGTACAATTTATCAAATTTCTTTTAGGAATAGGGCACCAGGAACTTGTTCAATTAGTCTATCGAAACATTTTCCAATCAATTTGATGGCTCTAACAACAACTGGAAATATTAATGTCCTCATGTTCCACATTTTTGAGAATTCCTCTTCATGAACCTTGTAATTTAATAGATTTTTTAAAAAGATCTTCAAAGATACATTACATTCTGCAGGGATCCTCATGCTTGAGCGATTAGCTTTGATTGTCCTGTCTGCATATTTGAAAGTCCCATAAAATTGTTATAGGTTCTGTTTCTGTAATCCGGTCTGGTTGATATTCATATCAGTTTCTTACAGTTTCCTTTCCATAAAAGTTGCAGATTGTCCATGTTGATATTAGCTTACTCTATCATGCCAAGTTTTATATTCAATGGGTAATAACACAGGAACCTGATACATGATGGTCAATTGTTTTCTGGATATTTATCAGAGAATCTGCAATTTGGGTTAACACAGATTTCAGTATGTGTTTTTGGTAATTTCTAGTTATCAAGAATTGGTCCACTGCAACAAGAAGATGACCTTCGCTTTCAGCTTTTAAACCTGCACTACCTAATCACTGATGAGTTCTAGATGAATTAATATCTTGCATCTTTCGAATCTGGTCACAGACTGACGATCAAAATCCACCTTCTGATGATGCATGCGGTGGCATGTGAGAAGCTTTTGGCATTTTATTATAATTTTTATTATTATTATTATTATTATTATTATTTTTGCTGTTGTTGTTGTTATTATTATTATTATTTATATATTTACTTATTTATATATTTTGTACCGTTTCCTTGTTAATTTTTTAAACAGTGGATCATGACATTGATTTTTTCTGAATCTGAAATCATAGGTATTTTTATAAACAGCATTAAATCTACGAGGTAATATTTTCAAAGCTGCCACCCAGTGAGGAGTAAATAGAATATATAAGCAAATAAAAATGTCCGGAAGAAAATGCCACTTGACCGGAAGTTAGAATGTTTTTGTAACAGGTGTATGTAAAGTCGCAATTAGAATTAAATCTATTCCCGATGCAGTCTGTAGGTGGTGTACAGGTTGTTCTTCGAAAGCAGTTCCATATCAGAGACTAGCTTCAAACCATTCAAGGTCGTATTGTAAGAGATAGACAGAGAAGTGGTAGGAGAGTGATACATTAGTCACTTAGAAATCATAAGCAAAAGCTTCGTTCGAATTCCCGAATAAGCAAACGAAAACATTGGGAACAGAATTGCATTTTTAATTTCCTGTCATTGTAATATTTCGTTTTCCTTGTCAATGTACAGCGACCTCTTTCCTAGTTTTGTGCACCCAGATGCGTATGAGAATCGAAATGAACCATGGTATTATTTGTCCTGTTGGTAGATATCTGAGAGTGAGTTCCCTTGTTTTTTTTTTTTTTTCAGTTGGCGTCGTTGAGTAGGATTTCTTTCAAGGGTATACAGAAAGTAAGCGCAGGATTCTGTACAATATAAGATTATTAA